CGCGGGGCACGGGTGGCGCTGGAGTCGTGGCTGTAGACGATGAGGTGCAGACGCTGTCGGGCAGCGTGAGGCGGGCCCCGGCCGGACCCCCCAGCATCCCCGGAACCCCGGGCTGCGCAGCCGTTGCCAAGGGCCCCGGCGGACAGCAGCCCAAACCGGCCAGCCTGGCCCGCGGGCGGGGGGCAGCCGCCGCCATCCTCAGCTTGGGCAACGTGCTCAACTACCTGGACAGGTACACCGTGGCAGGTGAGCAAGTGCCCCACCCAGCCCGAAGACAGGGCCCCTTCTCCCCAGGGACCCCAGGGAGCTTTTGGGTCCCAGGCCATCTATATGCAAGCCCTAAGTGGCGTCCCTAAGGGCCCTCTGCTCAAGCACAACGGGGCAAGTGATGTGCCCGTGCTCTGTGGGTCCAATCCAGATCCCCGCCCCCACCCAGGGCGAGAGGTTGGAGGAGTCCCCACCCCCGGAGCAGACGGCGTGTCCTCGCCAGCCCTTGACGGCCCATCCGTTGTCCTCTTCTCTCGTCTCCTCTGCGTCTCTGCGTTCTTGCCGCAGCCGCAGGTTCCCGGGCCTCTCCACTTCCTCTAACCCAGGTCGTCCCTACGTCCATGGCCCATCAGTTCTTTCCTTCCTTGGCCGCCTCCACCCCCCTGCATGCGTGCTGCGAGTGTGTGCGCCCCTTGCGGGTGTGCGCCAGGGAAACCGAGTGTGTGCGCGCGCGTGGCGGCGCGGATATGTGTGTGTGAGAGAGCTTGTGAGCGCGTGGCTGACAAAGGCCCCGGCCTGAGGGGCGCTGAGGGAGGGGCGGGGCGGGTCCGCGGGCGCCTGGGGACCCAGGATGCGGTTTGCAGCTGGCCCTGGCTAGCAGCCTGGAGACACCTCCCCCTGCCCTTTGGCGCTTGGGGCCTGGGGCAGGGCATAGGCCTCTGGGGTTAAAGAGGGGCGGCTTTATTCTCTGTATCTCTGGAAATCAACTGTAAGGATGGGATTAAAGTCCACAGAACAACTGGTTTCTAGTCCCAGATTTGCCACAAATGTGTTTGGTGCATGACCTTGGGCCAGTCTCAGCTTGTGTCTAGATCTGATTCCCTGTTTTTGAGTTGATCTATCTCTGGGCCTCTTGGGATGGATGTGGTTCTGGGATTCCCTTCTGCTGGCTCCCTTCTCTGACTTGTCAGGGTCAAGAGGTAGGGACTTGCCCTGGATGAGCTGCGCCTGGCGGGGAGTGATGCCGCCTTGAGAAGAAAGGAATCTGGTCAGTCTGGAGGAGAGCGGTTCTGAGTAACTGGCTTGCTGGCCAAAAACCTGCTTGGGGGGTGGGGTGGGGAGAGGGAGAGAGGTGTTTTCCCCCAGTCGATTGCAGAGAGAGCTTTGGGATGATTGAGGGGGAACCTGACGTAAGCCTCATGCCCACCTGGGTGCCTCTCTTTGGGCCACAGTCTCCTGCTCTCTTGAGTGGAGTTTTGTGTCCAGTGAAAGGAAGAGCTCTGATGGAAGGGCAGAGGCTTCCCTACTGCCCCGTTCCTGCTTGAAGAACCCACGTCTCCTCATCGTCCACTGGAGGGAGTTGGAAGTAGGCAGTGGCATCAGTGGAGTGGGCTGTCCCCAAGAGACTCTTACCTTGATCATGGTGAGCAGCACCGTGTGCTGTCCAAGTTTATCAGCCCTGTCATGCGTGTGCTGTGCTGCCTGAAACCTGGGAGCTTAGGTGCGGGGAGAAGTCAGAGAACACCAGGACCTGCAGTCCGTGCAAAGCAGGCTTCTGATGGGAGAACTAAGGCCCTCGGAGGGCCCTTGCCCATGATGTGCCAGAAGTTGGGCAGCAAAAGCTGGTGTCGGATCTACCAGTAAGTCTGCCTGGGGAGAGGTTTCCACCCTCTCTCAGCTAGGGAATGAGGGTGCCTCTGCTGGCACTGTAACACTTTTCAGCTTGTTTTTTTCCAGCCCCAGACCACCCCCTCTGATGTTCTTCAGAGAACTGACTTTGCCAGGGGCAGCAGGGAGAGGGTGGGATTGGGAAAGTCTGGTTCCCCTAACTGGAGGCAGGGCCAGGCTGTCAGAATGGGGAAACGACAGAGCACATTTCTGGTGAATTCGTCATGGTGGCAGAGGTGAGGAGTGGTGGCTAAGAGAGGTGTGGAGCAGCAGGGAGGAAGGCCTGGAAAATCCTGGGCAAACACTGAGTGGACTGTGCATCCCTCCCTGCCTTGGCCCAGGGGGGGACCTGCTGTGCCGCCCCACCCCCAACACACAACACACCGATTTCCTCTCCGGATAAGCCTGACTCCCTCTCTCTTTATAGTGAACTTCCCTCCCCCTGCCCCCAAGTTCAGTTTTGAGCAGTAGTTAACTATGTTCGTAATAACTGCTATGGCTGCACACGTCTTGTGCCGGGGCCTTGGTCCACCTGTTGCCTGGGACTGAGGCAGGGGGGCAGACACTCTGCTGCTCAGTCACCTTTGATGTTTGTGCCCACCTGGCCCTTGAGAACCTCGCAGTCTGGCCCCAGTGACCCTCGTCAAAGGACAGGAGAGTTCTCACCCTTCTTCTTTACATCTGTCTTGTACGTTTTTCTTTTCTCATGGTATAGACCAGCTGTGTCTAAAGGGACTATAATACAAGCCACATCTTAATTTCAAACTTTCTGCCAGTCCAGTCAGATTTTAAAAAGTAATAGAAAAAAAAAAGTAAAAGAAATGTGTGCAATGTATGAATGTATTTTATTTAACTTAATGTATCTAACGTGTTTCAAGATGTAACCGATATAAAATTTATTCTGGGGATATTTTGCATTCTTTTTCATACTGTCTTGGAAATCCGGTGCATGATTTACCTGCTCAGCACATGTTAGTGGCACAGTAGCTGGGGGTCACCGGAGTGGAGAGGGGCACAGTCTTTGCTAGCAGAGCTGGAACCCAGGCTCCTCCGCTTACCAGCTGTGTGACCTTGCAGCCATCGCCCGGGCCTCTGTGGGATAATTTCCCCAGCTCCACCTCACAGGCTGTGCAGAATGAATGAGAGTGGATCCGAAGACGCACCTGGGCCGAGGCCAGACCCTGGGAAGAATCCACAAATGTCAGCTGCCTTCACCTTTGAGCAGAGGCTCAAGCTGTGCACCTGGCCAGGATGCCCTTCCTGTTTCCTCTGTTGATGCCAGTCCCTTTCAGACTGTCTTTCAGATTGTCCCTGCAGATGCCTTTGGGAGCCCTTCCATTCCCTTCTGTACCAGGGCTGGTCTCTATCCTGGGAACTCCAGTAGCTTCTGCCTCTGCCCTGGCATTCCTGGCACCACCCGGTGATCCAGTTAATTATGGCCTTTCCTCCTGCCCATGAGAACTCCCTGAGGGCCGCCGGCCTTGGCCCCAGGTGAGGAGGGTTAGGCTCCCATTCTTTCTCTGGAGCCTGGCTTCAGTTGGGTGAAATAGTGGTAGCCCAGAAATTGCCTCTCCTTGTGCACATGGGGACCTTGATGCCTAGAGAACAAAGGCATTACCCGAGGTCACATGGTCCACCCCAGTGCAGCATGCTGTCCAGTCCCAGGTGTCTCGGTGGAGGTGGGATGCCCCCTGCTGCTGGCCTGGAAGCTCAGAGACTCTGTGCGATGGGTTAGCAGCCCTCCTGGGCAGATACCGTTCGGTTCAGTTCAGCCCTGGCAGCTTGAGCTCCCTTAGGGCACATGGCTCCCTGGGCCCTTGCTGGCCAAGCATCCACCTACTCTGCATTCGGAGCCCACCTATGGCAGCAGATCAGAGAAACAAGGAAGCCCTTTGGTCTTGGGCCTTGAGCACCCCACCTCGTTCCCTGCTCTGCTTCCTGCTGCAGAGCCTCCTCTGCCCCTGGGCTCCCATTCTTCCATCTGTAAAATGGAAGCAGAACTGAGGGTGTAGGTGGAAGCATTTGGCTCCTGGAACCAGGCCCAGCAAGAGGGAGCGGGCCTAGGTCCTAATTATGGTTGGTGAATGACTATGAGAACTGAGATCCTTCCCCAGCTTCTCTGGGGCACCTGTTCCCTTCCTGAGACCTATTTTCTTTCCCTTTGATCCAGCCGGTGGCACACTGGGCACCTGGAGCTGGGCAGGGTGGGTCTGGGGAGGAGAGGCAGAGCCCTGCCCTGGGGGAGTCCTTTGCTGCCAAAGAAGCCGAGACCAGTCTCCATGGCAACGGCTAACACAAGCCCAGAAGGAGAGATGAGCACAGGGATCCAGCCTGCAGCACAGGCCCTAAGGGCTGGGGGCTTCCCCTGAGCAGCTGGCTGGGTGGGAAGGAGGGGGCTGCTGGGTCAGGGCTCACTCGCTCTCCTCTTGGTTCATTTTTAGTCCATCCAGTTGAGTCTGCCCAGACCTGACAGATGGGGAAACTGAGGTACACGGTCTTTCATAGGCAGCCTGGTCCCAGGCCTAGTGGCTGTGTGGCTCTCTCTGGATAAGGATAGTCACCTTCAGGATAAATACAGTCCCTGCCCTGCCCCCTTGCATGGCCTTGCCCTGCAGCTGCCACGTGTGCACTGTAGGGAAACCCCGGCTAAGGCTGGGGGCGGGGCATCCAGAACACCTTGCAGACAGATCTGCACCTCAGTGAGCCCTGAGGTCCTCAGTGCCAGCTAACTGCGGCTGTTCATTCTCTTCTTCCTCAAGGTACCTTCCTGCTACTTTTGCCGGCTGCTCTGCTGTGCCGTTCATCTGTTACAGGAAGCGCCTTCAGACTCACCTGGTCTGGGATCCAGGCCCGTCCCTCAGTTTCCCATTCTGGTGCAGGAAGGCAGGGTGTGGCCTGAGAATGAGGCTGCCCTAGACAGAGCTGCCCAGGGACGGGGAGCTCCTAGTCCCTTCCCCAAAACCTCCACAGAAGGAAGTGGCTTTTGTTTCTGCTTGGGAGTGTGGGGGCCACGAATCTTGAGGACAGAAGGGAGATAAGAAGGAGGGAGGCAAACAGCACACGGGCCTCATCCTCAGCCTCCTGGGGCTGGGCTTCTTGTTGGGCCCTGAGGGTCTTCTGGGCGCCTCGCTTTGCCAAATGTTGGCAGCTTTGCTGTGTGACTCATGCAGATTTTGACCTTCTCTGATCCCTGAATCCACAATAGATGATTTTGTCCCTTTTTTGCTGTGATCAAATTCTGACTTCCAAGGGTATCACGGGCTGCTTGGTTGCAAGAGCTCTTGCCTGCTGGCCCTCAGCTTTCGCTGTACCTCCTTTCCCAGCTCCGGCTGTGTCCCAGGAGCTGCAGTTTCCAGCCTCTGTTTCCCTTG